GCCATGGTCAATGAGACCGTCTTCACAACCACGACTTGGTCCAGAAGAGGGCACCGGGAATAGCTAACTCTCCTGTCCTTAATATCTCGATGAAACACGAGATCCTGAGCCTCCCATACCTTCACCGCTTGAGTGAAAAGACTTTGGAGCAAATCAGGAAATTCGAACAAGACGTCGACGGATACCGACTAAGTCAGATAGCGCTAATTGCAGGAGCAATTTTCTGCGCTCTCATCTGCATCGGCCTAACCTGCCAACGAGCCATTATGGTCAAGAAATCCACAGCCCAACTTAAGGAAGTACTCGCCAAAATAGGGTCGGCCGAGGACGGCCTCAATCTTGAGGGGAGAGTAGTTAACCGGACCGATCGTCCGCTGATCAGCACCGGTCAAATTGCTGACCAAGCATTTGGCCGGAAGCTCGAGCATAGCCGGCAAAGCTCTGCACTTTGGCAGAGGCCGCTATGAAGCTTTTTCCTTTGTTAGCTTTAAGCAGTTCGTTTTGGACACTCTTAAAATAAAGAGCCATCGCTCAAGAACCAACAACTCCGGCATTCTGTCGTTAATTTTATATTTGATCACAGCAATCTGAGTCCCTAGGCCAGTTGCATTACGGAAGGCAGTCACCTTCCCAACGTAATCGTCGTAAATCTCCAAGTGGATTTATCACCCCCTTCCCTACACGAGGGACACCATCAGCCAACAGGCAAATAATTGGAGACCGGAGCGAGGGATCCTCCGGCGGCCACCAGGATCTTAATAATTTATACATATAATAAATAAAATTGCAACATTTTTGAGATACGTGCAACGTGGAACACGCTCTGTGGGCTAAGTAATTAATAATAGGTTGTCATATATCTCCATTTCGCTTTTTTGTTCTTTATTCAATGCTTTATAAAAAGTGTTACAGTGATCGGATTTAGTTCAAATATGCGCCGATTTGTTCGATAATCTGTTTCCATCTAGACGGCAGCTTCATAATACCTCCCTCGTAGAAGCCCCCCTCCTTATTTGCGAAGAACTCGGACAGCCACTTTTCACAAGCCTCTTTTGAATTCAACTTTACACCACCAAGGGCATTCGCCATGGACAGGAACAGGTGGTAATCACTTGGCGCTATGTCCGGGCTATATGGTGGATGCGATAAAACCTCCCATCCGAGCTCCCGTAGCTTCTGACGAGTCATCAACGAAGTGTGTGGTCTGGCGTTGTCCTGGTGGAACTCTACACCCTTCCTGTTGGCCAATTCTGGACGCTTCTGGTCGATCGCCTGCTTCAAGCGGTCCAGTTGTTCGCAGTAGATGGTAGAATTAAGCGTCTGGCCATATGGGAGCAGCTCATAGTGGATGATTCCCTTCCAATCCCACCAAACACACAGCAAAACCTTCCTGGCCGTCAATCCCGGCTTGGCCACTGTTTCGGACGATTCACCGGCCTTCGACTACGACCGTTTTCGCTTGATATTGTCGTATGTGATCCATTTTTCGTCGCCAGTCACCATCCGCTTCAAGAATGGGTCGAGTTCGTTCCGTTTCAGCAGCATATCGCAGGCGTTGATTCGGTCCAGAAGGTTTTTTTGCGTCAAATCATGCGGCACCCAAACATCAAGCTTTTTTTTGTATCCAGCCTTCTGCAGATGGTTTAAAATGGTTTGGTGACTAACTCCCATCTCCTGGGCGATGTCACGAGATGCCACATGCCGGTCTAACTCGATGTATTCCATGATTTGATCGGTATTTGTCGTCACAGGTATTCCGCCGGCTGGCTTATCCATGGTGTCGTTTTCACCGGTTCTGAATCTTCGAAACCATTCCTCCGCGGTTCGAAGTGATAGAGTACCATCCCCCAAAACACCATTAATCTCACGGAACGTTTCTCTAGCGGATTTGCCTTTAACGAAGGAAAACTTTAAAATAGCGCGAATTTCGGCGTTAGTGAACTCCATGTTTACACGTCTATAACTGTTGAACGCAAACTAAATCATGCATAGCGTCGTTTTGTAGGTTATGTCAAGACCTTTCAAATTATGTATAGTATTGCCAGATACGAGCTCTGTAGCGCTTTGGACATAGCCGCGAAATTCAAAAGACAAAAAGGCGGAAGGGATATATTTGACAATCTTAACAACAGAAAACCAGTCGATCTATTTTTTGGTAGGAAGGTAGCAAATGATCCTAACCTGCAACAAACCATTGAAAAAATAATAAATAAACAGGAGAAAGATTTAGAATTCCACAACGAAATAAAAGACTTCGTAAAAACCTATAAGGCCAGTGACGAAATTTACGTAAAGAACAACGTCTGACGACTGGACTAGCAAAAGTACAGACAGGAACTTTTCGATTAATTTATCTGATTGATCTCGAACAATACCAGAACACTCTTGAAATAATCAACGCCACAGCAAAAATCAAACTAAAATCATATGACCCAATACTACCGTTTATCATTGAGGATATTAAGAAATCCCAAACATTAATCGGCAATCTAAGAGTTAATAATAAGAAGAAAAGGCATATCGAAATGTTAGGTATCGCATGGAAATGGTTAGCCCGATCTTCAGGTAGCAGGGATTTCGATATATTATAGAAGAAGATTAACGGAGTATTGACAAACAATAATAACCAAGTCATTTTTAACAGAGCGATAATAGAAAAGATAAATAACATTACTCAGGTTACCAATAGCATTACCAACAGTCTAAAATATGAGGGAAATGCACAAAGAGACATGAGCACCACCATTATGTTCCAGACCCAAATGCTAAAGGAAGAAATGCTGAATCTCAACCATGCAGTACAATGGGCAAAAGCCGAAATAACCAGTCCTCTGATATTAGGCGATGAGGAAACTAGACAGATAAAGAAGGTACTAGAAACAGATCAAATGCCTTATGTCGATTTCGAAGAAGCACTGCATGCAGCGGAGATAAATATAGCGAGCAATGGTCCAATGTTAATATACGTCATAAAAATTCCTATAACAAATTCCGAACTTTGCAGCGAGATATTGATTAGGCCAGTTAGAATCGAACAATATATCAATAAAATAGAAAGCGAAAATATAATTAAATGTAAGGAAAAAATTCTCAAAAATTGTAAACTGTAATAAATACAATGAAATAACCATCTGTAAACATAGAAGTATAAGAGAAATAAGCAATTCGCCCTGCCTACCAAACTTACTAAAAGGGAAACCTGCAAACTGCACCAGAACAAATAACCAACACGTCCCAGAGGTGGAAGAGTTACTACCAGGGACCATCCTGCTTAACAGCTTCACGGGCACAATAAATGTTGACAGGACGACCACCAACCTCAAAGGTACGTTCCTCTTAACCTACAACAATTCCGTCATAGAAGCAAAGGGTCAAAAATTCGAAGCAAAAGATGCCGTCTATGCCAAGCCAATGCCAGCAATCTTGCAAACTGAAGTGGCCAAGTCTAAGAGACATTATCATTGGAGCTGATGAAAGAATTAAGACACCTGGTCGACATATCTTTTGGAGGCGTTATTACCATCATTATCATCTTGGCCCTAATCCGAATGACGATCAAGACGAGGGGAAAGATCAACATTGCGAAAATCCTGTCATAATCAACGTACCCGACCACAACGAACAGGGACGTTCGTTTTTGAAGGTGGAAGAGTTAACAACACAAATGTTTTGATAAGAACATTTGGAGCTGCACGCGTATCCGCTTGCGCAACACTCGTGGGGTCGCACGAGCGTCCGGTTGCGGAACATACGTTGCACCTGCACAACATAAATGTGCAGACGTAGCGTCTGCCCAATTTCCGAGAGCAGAGCAGCACCGACGTCAGCAGCATAGGTGGGCAGGCGAAGTTAGTTAGGGACAAATTTGTCAAACTAAAATTAGTTCTGTTTTTGCAATCAATGAATAAAGACCTTATGGTCACAACACCAAATAAAGAAATATATTTTTTTTTATTAATTGGAACTCTATATGAGTTAACTTACATTTGATACTGTTGTTCATCGACCTTGCATAAATCTTGAAATGACATTGGTCCGATGACATTAATTAGGCAGTCGCAGATAAAAACCGATAAAATCTAGCTTAAATGTTTATACAGCACCGAAAGTGTTTGATATAAATAGCACGCATTAGCTGGTCCCTATTTCTTGCGGGGCATCCATTTTTCTATTGAGGCCAATACTGAGACAATTTCAAACTTTAACCGCTCGACTATTACTCTCGGTCGCGTGCACGCCGAGTCTCCCGTTTCCTTGCCTACGCTCATTAGAATTCTGCACCGCCATACAGCACGCAACCAAAGACAGTTGGTTTCCTGACTTCACTAACTTCCACTAACTTGAAATGATTTGATTGAAAATGTCATTGAACTTTCTTTGCTTCATATAATTTGTATTTAAATCATCTTCCTGTTTGGTATACACGTTACTCGTAAAGTAACTAACGTGTCATACCCTATAAACTATATATATTCTTAAGGAGGATCATTAGCCAAGTTGATTTGTTTGTCCGCATGATAGTTGGGAACTATAAAGGCGAGAAAGTTAAGATTATTCATGAAGACTCTAGTGACGGCTACGCTGGTCAAGTTTGTTTTAAAACATTGCCACTCCCACACTCTAATGCCCACAATCTGCTACGCCAACAGTTTTAAAAATTGTATTATTTTTTTTTTAATTTTTTTGATTAGTCTAGTAAAATCTATCGATTTGCTAAAAAACTTTTTGGCACGCCAGCAAAGTGCCGTTCCAAAATTTCCGCGCTCACACTTTTGAAAAATGCTTTCATTCTTTTTCGTTTCGTTTGTATCGGTATACCAAAAAACATTTTGGCCACGTCCCTTCTAACTCATAAAAACCGTCTTTGAAATTTTGAAATTTTTTTACCATTATTTTTTTCTACAATTTCTGTAAAGGATATCTGATAGTTGAGGAACTCGACATTAGCGTTCTCTTGTTTTTTATTGATAAATACATTTAATGGTTATTAAAGGGCTTACCACGAAAACGCCTGGATGGGGGAGCTCCTCCATTCGGAACATCATCTTGCGGCGAAGAATATGATCCACTCGAACTGTACATTTCACTTTTAGATAAATGAAAAATTCTTGTTATTACGTACATACAAAGCAGGTATATAATTAAAATATTAAATCGATTTTAATTGAGCGCAGGGCCGCGATAGTGTATTATAGTGTATATTTTTTTGATCAGTACGAACAGCCAAGTCAATGCACTTCGAATGAACGTCCAGATCTAAGGAACTGTAGAAAATAAAGATAAAGCCTGCAGATTCCAGAGACGTACAGGCATTGCATGTTTGTTTACTACCAACTAAAAAGCGCCCATAATTTTTAGAAAATGTTCGATTTGCCTAAAAAACTTTTTGCTGCGCCCACAAAAATCTTTTTGCCACGTCCACTCTACCGCCCATCATTGTCAGGCCAACATTTTGGCAAAAATTTCGATTTACCAAAAAACTTTTTGCCACGCCCACGTTTACGCCCACAAACCGCCCAAAATGTTCACGCCCACACTTTTGGAAAATTTTATTTTTTTTCGCAATTTCTACCAAAATTCCAGAAAATTATGAAAATCATCGTTTGCACTCCTGATCCTTTTTGATCCTGATCAAGAATATAGATTATATACTTTATGTGGTCGGAAACGCTTCCTTCCACCTGTTACTTACATTTCAACGAATCTAGTATACCCTTTAACTCTACGGGTAACGGGTATAATAAAGGAAACAGGCTGGAAATTGCGGACTACCGTGGAATTGAATTTAGTGATAATGAATATAAGGTTGATATTTAGTTAAATTCAACAACAATATCGGCTGTCTATTTCGCCATGTAAGCTTGGCTTTCTCAGATGCCGAACTACTACTACTAGTAAATGGTTGTTTTCTTAGTAAACACGAAACATGTGTTATTTTTAAGGACTTTTGACTCGGTAATCCGTAGAGTACATATCATAAAAACTATCATTTATGGAATACGCGACCAAATTGTTAATGTTAGTGCATCTTATCTTTCAGCTCTCAAACTGTAATGAGACTATTTCCAAAACATTTTAATTTACATCTACAACATAAAAAACATAACATAACATAATGGTGTGCGGGGAACTCGAATACAGCATCCCCTCTTGTTATACCCCTTACTCGTAGAGTACTAGATTCGTTGAAAAAGTTAGCGTTTCTGACCATATTAGTTCCTGATCAGGATCAATAGCCGAGTCGAACTGGCCTTGTCCGTCTGTCCGTATGAACGCCTCGATCTCAGGAATTACAAAAGCTAGAACCACAAACCGCACAAAACTATCACGGCCACACTTTTGAAAAACGTAATATTTTTTCACTTTTTTATATATCTTGTAAATTTCTATTAAAATTGAAAAAAAAAACTAAAATACCTTTTTTAAACCGCTCAAAACTCTCACGCCCACACTTTTAAAAAAAGTGATATTTTTTCACTTTTTTATATATATTGTAAATTTCCAAATTTATTTGGATAATGGAAGAAGTGGTGGTGTTGTATTTTTTGGAAGAGAGGTGTTTTATCATGTTAAGGAGTTTACAGAGGCTGTCTCTTAGATTGTACTGCGTTGCCCATTTGTATCTATTGTTTAGGTTTAGAGCTAGGATCTTTGTGCTGTTGTTTGCTGGAATATTTATAATATAGTGCCGGTTTGCATTTGTGTTTACGACATATTTGAAGGGCTTGACATTTGTCTATTGAAAGCAAGGTACCTGAGTAAGTGCACCATTCATTTTTATTGTTAAAGATGGGTGAAAGGTTAGTTAAGGGGAATTCGACGGCGTAAGCGACGACCTTAATTTGTTTTGGAGGGGAGATAATAGCAGTAAGAGAATTGTAGGTTCTTAGAAATAGAATGACTGAGATTGGGAAACCTTGCGGGATGCCGGTTTTGAGGAGAAAGCTGTTGGATAAATTGGTTGCGAATTTAACAATGATCTTCCTGTCTGTCATGAAATGTAAAACGTATTTAATGATACTGGGATGTAAGTTCCATTCTTGGAGTTGGTGGATAAGGGAGTGGGTACATATTTTGTCAAAGGCTTTGGAAAAGTCTAATGAAATTATAGAGAGGTCGCGCTTTAGAGAGAGGGATCTTGTTGCTAGGTGGTCTATGTATATTATAATAGACTGTCTAGAACAGATGTACCCCTTTTAAAACCGAACTGGTTGTTGTGGATGAGTTTTTGGGTTAAAACAAACCACCACAAATGTTTAGCCATATTTTTTATCAATAACTTTAGGAAGGCATGGGTTCATGGAAATGGGTCTGTAGGATGTGGTTTCTAGTACCTTTTTTTGTGGCTTTAATATAGGAAGAAGCTTTGTAAGCTTAAGGGATGTGGGATTTCAGGATATCGTTGAAATGTCTTGGGATCCTGAGCTTAAGGTTCTGGATTATGGACTACGAGGTACGGTCCATACAAAAGGTGGATCCTTTAAGTGATTTGAGGGCGGATAACAGCTCTATGAAATAAATGTTCTATATAGCAGGCTGCTTGGGATGGCGTGTAGGTTGATGAAGTGCTTAAGAGCAGTTTGTTTGTTCTGAAGGTGCTGGAAAAGTTACTGTCGTCAGCTTCTTGTGACCATAGGTTGCCGAAGGTGTTATCAATTTCCGAAGGAGAAGTGGTAGTTGAGTATGGCGTGTATATGCATGCTGGGATAAAGGCCGCATAAACGTTTAATATTTGCCCACATTTCCAAAAGTTAGCTTTTGAACTTATCGAAAGTCAGAGTTTATTTGGTGTTGTGTGTGGGAGATAGATTTGCGCACTAAGATGGCTGTGCTACCGAATGCATTCAAACAGAAGCTACACTAAATTGTAATGTTTATGGGGATAGGGAGGGATTTTCTGAAGAGCAATGATGTGTGGTCCAAACTTTTTAATTAGAATTTGAAGTTGGGAGTAATTCTTCATATAACCTTTAATGTTCCATTGTAATATATTATTAGGATTTAGTTTACAAATAATATAGAGTGAAAGTCCCCTTCACTTCCGAAATGAAGGGCATATTTTGTCAAATTTACAATATATGAGCAAACGTGTGCACATGTACAGTGATCGGCTGTCGCTGTATGCGTACAAGAGAGCTGCTGGCTCTAGAGCGCTCTCTCTCTCTGGCTCTTGAACAAAAATTCGAGAGAGCCCGGAGCCAGCTCTAGAGCCAGAATCGTATGGCGTTGGGGGTTATTTATGGTTAGTTTATGTGGATTTAGTTTACTATTTTTATGAGGACTAAGATCATTGGCGTCCTGGAGGTAGTGCATTCCTGATGTCCTTTGGGTGCGGTGAGTTGATGAGGTTCTGAGTTATGGTTTGGGTTAGAGATGTTGCTGATATATATTTCGTTTTTGGTAACTGATGCGAATGGGAGTGGTTTTGGTGTTACTAGTACTAAGGATTTTAAGGGCAGTTTTGTTGTCACGTTTGTTTGTGATTTTGATTGCTATCAATTCTTGTTGTGTTTTAAAGATTGGGCAACATTTGTTTATGGAGTTGTGGGGGTATGTTGTTTGATCTTCGCTACAGTTTGTGCATTTTGAGGGTCTTACACACTTTTCGGTAGTGTTTGGGTCGAGGTGGTAGTCATCTCCGCAGTTGTAACAGATTTTTTTGTTTTTACAAGTTTTGTACAAATGGGCAAATCCGAAGCAGACATTGCATCTAGAAATATACTCGCATTGGCAAAGGAATATACTCGCGGATTGAGGTTCTTTGATAGCCAATCATTACATATTCAGGGAGTATGGGAAAGTTAAATTTCAATATAACAAGGCGGGTTTCCTTGAGATTGTCTTTTTCTTTTTTTTTTAATATTTTTTAAATCGGTTACTTGTTTATGTGCAAGTTCTCTTTGGATTATACTTTCTGCTTTTCCTCGCAGATCATTTGAGTATATTACTCCTTTTGTTGAGTTAAGAGAGTTGTGTAGATTTACGGTAATATTGATGTTTGGAGCAAAAGCTTAGCTGCATAAGTCTATTTTCTTAAAAGTTGTTTTTGGTTTTAATTAGGAGAGTACTGTTTCTTAGCTTTTTGCATTCTTCGACTTTCCTGCGCTGGCGAAATCAATTTGTTTTTTGATTAGAAATGAAGAAACGTTAGCAAGGTCGACAACTGAGTCGGATATGGATATAATCATGTATTTGGGTCCGGGGGAATTTAGCAGAACGGTATTGTTGGTGGGATTTTGTGGGCCTCGATCGGGCTTATCTCCCATCTTGATGTTGCTGTTTATATGTCTCGTAGGTTATTTTATTTTAATTCAGGTTATTTTATTTTATTGTAACCGTAGATATTGAGAATTGTTGTTGGTTTGGGTAAGTTGCTTAATGAGCTTTAGGTTTGCTTGGCGAAACTAGAATTCGACTGATCTTAAGAAGACTAGTGTAACGAACTGTTTTTCTTGTTTCTGCTCGCTATGAATTGGAAACAAAGCTACGAATTCCAAACTTATGATTTGTGTGATTGCCAACGAAAGAATATATAGAGATTTAGATTCGAACAGCTGTATTGACAGACTATTTCAACGATAGACTCCTACAGCCCTCGCCGTCGGCTGCGCGGCGTCGCTCCTTCGTCGTCCTTGGCAAAACCACTGTCCCTTCTGACCGTGCTAGGCTCTCAACTTCTCGTTAACTTGTCGACGGGTGCGAGTCTTTCTCTCACTCGCGGATCTTCTGCCTACCCCGTGGTATAGCTCTTCGAGTATTTTAACTGACAGTCTCGAGCTGCGCTTGCGCCGTCCCTTCATAAGCCACGGAGATCCCGTTATTTCCCCCTTTTGCGCACGATCCGCTCGGGTACAAGGTCCAACCCACAGTTCACGGTGCATCCTCTTTGTGCTCATCCAAAGTCCGCACCGTTACTGTTCGACCTCTGCGCCCTTGGCCGGTATGTGTCCAAGGTCCAGCGCGGTACCGTTATTTCACGGTCTCATCGCTTGCTCGGGTGCAAGATCCATTATTTCCTATTCGACCGGGCTGCCTTTGTCTCATTTTACGTTCCAGATAATAACAAATTTTGGACTTGAATCGCGT